GCTCAACATCACTAATCATTAGAGAAATGCAAATCAAAACTTCAATGAGGTGTCACCTCACACCAGTCAGAATCGCCATCATCAAAAAGTCTACATGCAATAAATGTTGGAGAGGGTGTGGAGAAATGGGAACCCTCTTGCACTGTTGATGGGTATGTAAACTGATACAGCCACTATGGAGAACAGTATGGAGGTTCCTTAAAGAACTAAAAATAGAACTACCATATGACCCATCATTCCCACTACTGGGCATATACTCTGAGAAAACCATAATTCAGAAAGAGTCATGTACCACCATTTTTTTTTGCAGCTCTATTTTCAGTAGTCAGGACATGGAAGCAATCTAAGTGTCCATCAACAACTGAATGGGTAAAGAAGATGTGGCACATATGTACAATGGAATATTACTCAACCATAAAAAGAAACGAAATTGATTTGTTTGTAGTGAGGTGGATGGACCTAGAGTCTATCATGCTGAGTGAAATAAGTCAGAAAGAGAAAAACGAATACTGTATGCTAACACATATATATGGAATTTAAGAGAAAAAAAATGTCATGAAGAACCTAAGGGTAAGACAGGAATAAAGACGCAGACGTAGAGAATGGACTTGAGGACACGGAGTGGGGGAAGGGTAAGCTGGAACCAAATGAGAGAGTGGCATGGACATATATACACTACCAAATGTAAAATAGATATCCAGTGGGAAGCAGCCACATAGCACAGGGAGATCAGCTCAGTACTTTGTGACCACCTAGAGGTGTGGGATAGGGAGGGTGGGAAGGAGATGCAAGAAGGAGATATGGAGATATATGTATATGTATAGCTGATTCACTTTGTTATGAAGCAGAAACTAACACACTGTTATAAAGCAATTATACTCCAGTAAAAGTGTTAAAAAAAAAAACGTATGCAGAAGGAGAAGAAGCCATGGCTCTCATAACATGTACCTACAATCTGTGCATGAAACTACTATACATACATATATTTCATGCCAAGAGAATCTCAGTAGTTGCTAGTGATCTCCCGTTCATCAAATCTGCCTACTCAACAGTCTGATTGGAAACCAACTATCCCGAGGCAGTTGCTTAGTGGAGAAAAATTTACAGTTGGTCTTCTTGTTCAAATTAGGGTCAGATAAAATATGAGAACCTTCTGTGGTGGCAGGGAGGGATGGTTTAAAGCCCCTCATGGAACTGACTTTGGGTGAGAGATGAGCAGGTGATGAGCGTCATCAGTGATTCTCTATTAGAACAGGTACAGCAGGTACAAATAATTCCAGTACTGAGTCAAAAACAAAAAGTGTTGTCACTTTTCATGGTTAGAGGCTGTGTGTTCCAGCAGAAAGTATGTATTCTTTGGCCCAGGCTCTGCCACATGACAGCTACATTATTTTGTGACTATTCAACCTTTGTGAGGCAAATTCTTCTCATCCATAAAATGGGTTAATAATAGCAACATTTGGGGATGATTTTGTATGTAATGTAACTCTGTAGCTTAGGATGATGCTAGAACCCTGCCAGTGCTCGATACTTTATACCGCAAGCATCCGCAGGTTTCCTTTAGCCTCTCATGTTGCTGGTTTACCAGCTCCCGCCTACACAGTAGCAGTGCCAGCCCCACCACACTGCAAGTCCCCCCACAGTTATTTGTGTGTCACCACAGTGTGACCCACAATTTGCTCCTGTTCGTCTATCCTTCTTTGAAGCCACCTCATGCATCTCTTTGAGAGAGGTGCCCTTCTCTATGGTCCTGCTCCTGGTGCCCTCTGGGAGGACTCAGCTCCGACCCAAGTCCCATCAGAGACCTCAGGAGGCCAGTGCTGTGCCATGGATGAGGGAAGAAAGGAGAAGATGGCTGTTTTCCTTTTTCATCTGGACCTTGAAGCAGCCCTGGATGCGATCCTCCTGAAAACAGACCTATCTGCTTCCTCTGCTTCACTCTCAGGATAACCCTGACCTTGGAATCATGCTCAGAAATCAACCTTGCTTGCTGGCCTGTCTCTGTCTCTTCCATCTGTCTCCAGCAGTGTGCTAATTGCTGTCCAGGCATTGTCTCATCCTCGCAAGAAGCCTGTAAGATTGACAGATGAAGATGGGGACTCAGAATATCATCCTCTCTCCTCTTCTATCTCCTATAAATAAATACTTGGGGTATCACCACCCTCAGATGCCCCCATTAAGATGAGTCTAAAACATATTGCAAGTGGTAGCAATGGTTATTATTTTTTTGAAGACTTTTTTGATGTGAACCATTTTTAAAGTCTTTATTGAATTTGTTACAATATTGCTTCTGTTTTGTTTTGGTTTTTTGGCGGCGAGGCATGTGCGTATCTTAGCTCCCTGACCAGGGATTGAACTCAAACCCCCTGCACTGGAAGGTGAAGTCTTAACCACTGGCCCACCAGGGAAGTCCCAGCAATGATTATTATTATCATTCCATTCTAAGTCAAGGTCAAAGTTTATGCTGATTCAACGAGTCTACAGAAATATGTAGAGTAGGAACTGAACTACAGAAATCAGAGTACCAGGGAGAGAATGGGGATAGGGAGTTAGAAGACTAAGGAAGACAGTTTTGAAAACCAAAATCTGGTCATTATAAAAAATAATGTATAAGGGGGGAATCTAAGAGAATTTACATATCATCTCTTTTATTAGTTCTCTTTGTTTTTAATTTATTCAATGGCATAAGGTACTTCTCTCACACTTTCCCCCAAAATCCCTGCCTTGATCCCTTCTTTAAAAACATGAAAGGACAAGGAATGCCATCGTCTAGATGAAGAGCAAGACTTTCTCTTCCCCTTCCCCTACTTTCCATTTCCTTAATTCATCTTTCTATCTCCAAGTACAGGTGGGAAATAATTGAGGAACAATTTTGGGGGGAATGAAATTTTGATCCCAGTCTACAAGAAATCTCTAGAGATTACTTTCAAACTAAAATCGATTTCATACCCAGTAGAAAGCTTTCATTTCATGAAATGAAAGGCTAAATGATAACAGTCTAAGAACATCTTTCCAAAAAAAGGCACCCTAAGTACACGTGCCCAATTACTATCAAGAAGTATTCTCTTCTTTTATTTTTTTAACTTTTTTTAAAAAATTGAAATGCAGTTGATTTACAATGTTGTGTCAGTTTCAGGTGTACAGAAAAGTGATTCAGATATATATATAGAAAGAGATACAGATATAGGTATTCTTTTTCGGGTTCTTTTCCATCATAGGTTATTACAAGGTAATGAATATAGTTCCCTGTGCTATACAGTAGGTCATTATTGTGTATCTATTTTATATAGATAATAGTGTGTATCTGTTAATCCTAAACTCCTACTTACACCAAGAAATAAGAGAGAGAATTTCTCTGTTGATCATGCTCTGTGTTTTTTATCCAGGGCTAGTGAAATATTCTCTGGTTACCATTGCCAAGCATAATTTTTTTATGGCAGATGTCAGTTATATTTTAGTAAAAGACTAAATTCATTTTCAATTCTCTTGCAAGAGTCTTTCAAGTAACATAGAAAGAACAAGATACTATCAGTGGGGGAAAAAAATAAAATCAAATGCACTTTAATAAAATGCAATTGTTCACAAGTATTATTACTGATCCATTTCCTACTAATATTTTATATCAAAATGTTCCAAATTCATTCAGCTCCAATGCTTTGGGTTTTCTGAATTTCCAAAATTACATGTCTATTTGCTGCTGAGATCTGAAAAACCAGGAGAGGTGAGACCAACAAGAAATTTGCATACACACCAATAGAAAGGGATGATATTGCATCATTTTCTTCTTATATATTTATTTCTTAGTAGTGGTTTAAAGTGATCCATAGATCAAGAAATTAATAGACATTGAAAACTTTCCTGGTTACCACCACTCACATACTCGCCTTTCCTTTAAGGTCTATTCTGCCTTAATCAGAATTTTTACCAAAGAGGGGAGTGGAATGGACATGGAAACTCCTAAAATGTTCAGGCACACTATTATCAGCATACCTCTATTAGCTGCATATATAGAAATCTTGGAAAAATTAAGCTTTTTATATTGAGATAGCAGATTGAAATCTTAAATTAATATTTTATTTTTTCATATCCAAGTTTTTAAAAAAATATTCTTTAAGTATAAGACTGTTAATTAGTGATCATTTCATTACTAGAAATAAAATTATGGATTCAGCTTAAAGGTTTCTTCATTATTTAGTGTATTTCTTCTTCACATGCTAGTTATGAACTTTAATTTTGTACCTCTATCCAAAAACCAAGAGCAGATGAGACACCTAAAAATATCTTCATTTGCATCTGTTTTCCTTCCTTATGAGAAGGAGAGTCATCCCACCTGATTTTGCCTTGAAAACAAGGAAATAACTAATGACAATTTGGGAATTAATTCACTGTTCATCTCGCAAGCTAGTATGTCAGGCCCTCCATCATTTGGTTCAAATTGATGCTAAATTGCAAGAGGGAAGGATAGGAGTCTTTGGCATTTTTCCATTCCATATAGTTGCTAGCAGAGATGATTAATAAAGCTCCTTTGATGTGAATTAAGGAACTCGGTTAAGTGAATTAGATCCTATTTACTTTGTCTTCTTACACAAATATGCTGTTATAAGGCTCTTATTTTTTTAAAGTAGTGGAACAAAATATAACTAAATTACCCCATATTTTTAAAATATGGATCACTTCCTTCCTATAAAAATTTAAGACCAGGTCTCCAGAAAGAAAGACAGAAACATGTATTGATGCACATCAAATCTGCATTGGTTTCTTATTATCACATTAAAGAGACAATCTAAGGATATAAGTTATGACTTAATTTTGATTTTGTTTGCATACTGCTACCTAATGTACATAAGACAACCACCACAGAACAAAATGGATACACCCAACAGCTAGCTGCCTTTAAATGATTTTAAAATAGGTGCTTGTAAAAAGTTAATTTTTGGTGTTTATCTGCTTAGGAATGAAACAAATCACAGATATGTTTTCATGTTGATTTTCTCTGGCAGGACTGGGAATTCCCACATTTCATGGGAGACGTCGATGTAAATCTTCCCGGTTTGCACACGCCTCACATGCAGTTCAAGATTCCTTTCTTCCAGAAGATCTTCAAGGAGGAATATCGTATTCACATAACAGGTATAATTTTGAACACAATCTGATTGTCTCCTAGTTAGAGTCATGCTAGCTGCTATAAAAGGCAAAGCAAATGGTAACATTTTAGAGGCATACAGGAATATAGTTTTGTTTTACTCACGTAACAGTGCAAGGCGGTTCCAGATCAGCAAGGGGCTGTGGACCATCATTCTGGGACTTAGATTCCTGGTAACTTTAACAATTTCAACATCCAGTGGGCAAATGGGAATAATGAGAATGGGGAAAATGACTAAGAGGGTTTGCCTGTTTCTTAACCCCCTGGCCTGGAAATAAAACATGTCACCTCCACGCACATTCCATGGGGAATAACTAGTGAGATAGCCCCACGAAGAGTTGAGGAGAGCAGAGAGATATGGTCCCCCATTGGGCAGCCACTTGTGAGGTCAGGTCTCATGTTCTAGCCTAGGAGTATCAGAGATGAGTCATATCTTTGTTATGGATTGTTTGCTATCTCTGCCACACTCCATAGACCAGTACACCTCGGTTTTGTTTGTTAGGTGGGTTTCTTTATCACAACATACAGCTCAGTATATTTTTTCATCGTGAATACTCTTTATGCTTTGTTCTTCATTTGCTTCTGAGATCAAAACAGTGGTACCCTAGAGCTCCAATCAGACCATATGCCTTTAGGGAGTTGGGCTGCTTCTCATTTGATTGAGTAAAACTTATTGCTGTGGCAGGGCTCCTGTTTGTCTCAGGCGATTCTCTTGTGGATCCTCAGATTATTCCATTTTCAGATGTGTCCTGCTCTTGAAATAGCTCGAGTATGATTTATTATAATTTTCTTTCATGACAACTCAGTCATTCTCATCTAAACAAGGCTTCCCAGAGCTTTGTTTTATACCTCTTTTTCTCTTTATAACAAGAAGCAGTCAGTTGAATGTTCACAGAGAGAGAATGGCATTAGTTCTCAAGCTGTTCAAATGCAGGTAATGAATGTGTGTGTGTTTTAAGGACAATGGCCTAGGATCCCACACCTGCTATAATAAAAACTGCTGAAGAAATCTGTGCTTACACGACCGTCTGTGCTGCTGAATAAAAATAGCCCGAGCACAGAAAACGTGAACATCTGAGTACTGCAAAAAACCTTTGCTCAACTTGAAGGCTGTTTTTTGCTTTGAGCATGAGGCAACCTTCCTAAATTGGAGAATGAGCTCATGAATAGGGAAGATGCAGCAGGTTTCTTTTCCTATTCAAAATGAATGAGGCTCTTCTATTAAATTCACTGGGTAAATCAATCAATTTGAGTTCAGGTCACATAGTGTGGTTTCAGAGTCCCCACTTAATCTCTGCAGCATGCTACCCTCTCCGACTTCTAAAACAGCTATGACACACGTGGTATCATCATATCCCTTTGGGTGGGCTTTTGACAGGACCATCTGTTCTTGCTATCAGCTCTTGTCTCAGACCATCATGGCACTAATATTGTCTCTGACTGAATATCAGAAGCCCTATCAAAAATATAATGTTTGAGTGCAAAATATCAGGTTTAAAAAAGGGGGTAATGGAGGAAGACTCAGAAAATCCACTGACCAGAAAGAAAAATAAAGCTGTTAAAAATATTTAATTTTGGGCGCTTTTGCATAGCTTTGTCATATATGCTGTCATTTATAGACAGGGGCAGGGGTAGGTTTTGTGGTTCCCAAAGCTTACACAATTTGGAATGCTTTACTTAAGAATATGAATACAAAATTACAACTAAAACTTGTATTCAGTGTCTGGGAAAGGAGCCAGGCACACAGGAATCTCTGATGATTCAGCATCATTACTTTCAAGGTAAAGCCTCCTGTGCCTTTGAACTAAAACATTCATCCCACCAAGTATTATTTTCTAAAAATGTAAAAGGAGGAAAGGCTAGCTAAGTTTTTGCAATAGAGACTTCACATTAATAAAGTTTTCTGGAAGATGGAAATATATTATAATTAAGGCTTTGGGGTAGTATTTGCCAAATTATGCTGATTATCATATCATCCAGGAATTTTATAAATATACAGATTGTTGGGCCCCATTCCTAGTGGTCCCAACCCAGTAGGTCTGGGCAAAGGCCAAGGAATGGGACTTTTGTAAAGCTGCCCTGGGTGATGCTGACCATTGAGAACTGCTCCTTTCTGATTGAGAGGACACTGGTGAGGTCAGACTGTCTCCCTGAGAAGAGCCATGCAAATGATTGGGTATCTGGACCTACTAGGAAGGCTTTCGAGGATTCTGGGGCTTAAATTCAAAATAAGATAGGATACATGTGGGCTTTGGGGTGAAGGGCTCCACCATAAACTATTTAAATCCAGTTTGTGGTAAGATGGTCATGTGCTTCCCCAGATCCAAGATAAAAATTTCTAGGAAAATGGTGACAGGTTTGGAGGCTGAAAAAAGAACTTTCCCCTCTTGTTTTGTTCTGTTGCTCTCTTTGTTCTGTGAATTGGTGAAGAGGTTGCTGAAGCCACTCTGGAGTATCACCCATCTCCCCTGAAAGGCCTTTGACTTTATCTGATGTTGTAAGATAGCTGTTTCTGGGCAAACCCAGGTAAAACCCCCAAAACACAGTGCTACATGTTGTATTTTAACATGCTCAATAGTTAGTAGCCCACAAATTTCCAAGTGAACTACAAATGCTAGCTTGATAGGTTCCTTCAAGTTCTGCTTCTTTTTGTAAAGAGACCCTAATGCTTTCCTTGTTTAGCAAATCACCCCTGGGAGTATTAAGCATGAAACCCTCTATATCCATCTATGTTTCTCAAACTTTATGTGTATGAGAATCACCTGGAGAGCTTGTATAAACGATCTATCAGCCACACACCCAAAGTCAGATGCCTGAGGTAGGAGGTGGAGCCCAGAATCTGCCATCCTTTGAAGCACCACCAGTGATGCCTATGCAGGCAGCCAGAGAACCACACTTTGAGAAACACTGCTACTGAGAAACGTTTTCTATAGTTATAATTCCTCTCATCTCAGCTTTTATTTATTTTCTATACAGTTCTTAAAACAAAAGCCAAGGGGCAGAATGCAAATTCAATAGAAATGGGGTGGCCAGTGAGAAAGGCACATGGTAGGGGCCTGACAGAAGCTAGAAAGTTCAGAGCTGGGGCCAACAGAGGAGGTCCCAAAGCAGAGCATGACCGGGGAAAGGTCCAGAAGAAGCTGGAGCCAGGGCTAGGAAGGGATCCTGCAGATCTCCAGATAGCTCTGTCTATTGCTTTCTCTGTCTGTGTCTGTGTTTGTTCTGCACCAGAAGAGCCTAGACAAGGATGGCTGGGGTTCTCCCAGGGTCAAGGATGGCTTGATGGCCTCAACTATTATTTCTCTGTGATCTAGAAAAGATGTTCAGTGCATGCTGAGGCAGTGGAATGTAAAGACTTGGTGCATAGGTTCCAGCCCTGCTACTAACTGGTGGCAGGGCCCTTGTCAAGCTCTTTAACCTCTTAGAGGTTCAGTTTTCTCATCTGTTAAATGGGGACAGTAATGGTACTTATCCCATAGGACTGCAGTGAGAATGAAATTAATTGATATCTACAAGGCACTTAAAACACTGCCTGCCATGAAGTAAGCAGTCAATAAGTTCTCAGTATTTTTACCTAAAGCTTTTCCTTTCATCCCTCCAGAATCTGGCTTTCCTATTTAATTCACAAACATTAGGTAGCCTGAGAGAGGGTTCTCAAATTACTTTTCCACTATTCTGAGTTCTTTCCTGTTATTTACTGTTCTGAGTCCTCAAGAAAGAGAAACCTAAGAATGAAAAAAAAAAAATCTCTCTCCCAATGAAATGCTCTGTATGTAGAGGGTTATCTGACACTGATGAGTTCCCATTTACATTCTAAAAGGCTTTATGATTTGAGTATTTTTTTAATCCTGATTCCTAGCTAGTTTTATTTATGCATGTCAGAAATAACTTGAATTGTTGCATCTGTTTAGCTCATCTGGATCCCCCTTGACAGATGGTTTGCTGCAGTATGTATGAGCTTTCAGTTTATAAGCTGGGCTACAGCTTATAAAAAATAAATCATCTCTATCCAAGGGTGTGTTAAAATTTTTTTTTCTGGGAATTTTGACTTCAGTAATAAAGGGGATAAATGGTTAGTGATTCGGTCACATTGGTGCTTTTAGACCAAGTCCATTGTTCTCCTAAAAGTAAGTGCTAAATGCAACTGTGTAATTATCTCTTTTGCCCTCTTCCCTTTTACCTATAAGGTGAGTGCAAAGATGGATTCAAAATGTGATGTACTAAGTCTCAAGAGAGGAATGGCCTCTCAATTTAGTCTTGGAAGCTCCTATGAGTCCTATTAATGCCAATCCCGGTGGAAGCTCTGCCATCTGTCATCCCAGCCAGACAAAGGAAGTGTCCCATTGGTGGCCATCATCTGAGTAAATTAGGAGAGGGTTGGGGGAAAGGCCAGAAGGAAGGCCTGTGCATCTGTGAGGAGAGAATTCACACTGCTGGCATGATGATACCCATGGGAAGCCTTTCGGCAAAAATGGAAAATGTGGAAGTAAACAAGCCTCTGTAGGTCTGTGTTCTATTTCAGTTTCCTGAGATGCGTGAGGGCACAGGTGCTTTACAATGGTGAGAATGTGGAAAATAATGCTGAAAACTCCTTCATTTTATTTCCATAGGTGCCTGATTTCTGGCAAATGAGTTCCCAAAGATTGTTTGTTTTTTTTTTGTTTGTTTTTTTTTTTTTTGCGGTATGCGGGCCTCTCACTGTTGTGGCCTCTCCCATTGCGGAGCACAGGCTCCGGACGCACAGGCCCAGCTGCCATGGCTCACGGGCCCAGCCGCTCCGCGGCATGTGGGATCTTCCTGGACCGGGGCACGAACCCGTGTCCCCTGCATCGGCAGGCGGACTCTCAACCACTGCGCCACCGGGGAAGCCCCCAAAGATTGTTTTTTAAAGAGCTCTCCTGTGTCAAACAGATCATGGAAAGTGCTGGCGAGGGCAGGCCAGTGGTCCATCCAGCAGAATATTCTGTCTGGCAAAATTAGCAAGGGA